TAGCAATGTTCTTCCGACGTCTGATTTCTTTTTAAAAAATGCGTGTCTAAAGTGCATAAACTTTTGGGATTGACTGTATAGCCAATACATCGTTAAACAGTGTTTTTCAAATTTGCTGCAGCTCTAACTCAAAGACCAATTGTCTGATTGACTTGAAACTTTAACACAGCGTTTTGGACGTGTTTTATTGTAAAGTGAATCAGAATATTCTTGATTTGATGCAAATTGTTATTTTGGCAACGAAAAAACGACAATTTTCTTAAGCAAAAATCGAAAAATTTCTTAAAATCTCTGCAATTTTGTCAGATGTCAACTGATCTTTCGGATATCTCAGTTCATTCGATAGAGAAAATCTTCTAGTTTAACAGGATATTTTTCTTTCTTTATTTCAAGCGTCGCGTAGCGACCTATATCATTGCAGCAGTGGAGGCATATTTTTTGGCGTCTCGAGAGATAGCGCATAATTAGGTTGCCTTTTGTTATTTTTGTACTAAAAAATAAATTTGTACACTTGAATCACAGGCAAATACATCCATGAAGTTTAAAAACATTCCATGAAGTACTTCTCTTAAAAAAATTTTTCAAAAATCCCCTAAATTTCGGGCAGGTATACCCTATCGGGTAGGCGACTTAATTGCATAATCATCGCAAACTGGAAGGAATGATTCTTGTGCGATGATTTCTATTGCGATTTCATTCATCATTGTCTTCCGCCTGGATGCGGAAGTGGAACAAACGAACGCAGAATGAATACGAGGAAATTAAGCTCGATGAAACGTGATCTCTCCTTGATTGTTGAGTAACGTCCACGTGACCACAGACGAGAACACACCGCAAGGAAGTTTCCCTACTCCGTATTGCGAAATGTACGTGGTTCTCGTTCGTTTAACAACATTGTTACACGAGTACTTATTAATTTATTAAGCATATTAGACGACATATACTCTAGACGATAAAGCGTAGCTGATGATTAATTAGTTTAACCATATGATCAGTCCATGATGCTCTCCATTTTTCTTTTGGATAAAATGTATATAGATGATATTAGAATAATTACACAGATGAAATTATGAATCCGTTACTGGAAGACTAGAGAACCTCGAGACGTGTCGTCGAAAACTATAATGAATATTTTATAACTTTTTAACACGTGAGACGGCTTATTATTACTACGTGTATGAGCATACAGGATAATGAAACTCGAAGATCTGCTTTTGTTGAGAGCTCATAAACGATACTGAACGGATTCTTAAACGGAGTGCACACGTGATTTCTTCGACGGAGGATACTTGAACGTTTAAGCTACACACTGGTTGCTTACGTTCGTAAACACGTCAATCATCGAGATGGCGGGCGAACCTTCATTCCCCCGTCATCGGTTCGAGACACCAGTTTTTCCAAGGTAAAATGGAAAATGTACTAATCACTCGAATGGCACGTGATTTTTTGGCCCGCTGTTGATTACGAGCGGAGTTACGATAAAGAGCAAAACGTTGTGTCTGTCTATATGATTCTCATATTCTTTAACTCTTCACGGTTTCTCTCGTCTCTTCACCGAATTCCAGTACTTTCTTCCTGTGAATTGGCAATGTGAATTATCGTAAAACGATCACGATCGACTTACCAGTTGGCGGTCTGATGTGGACACCTAGATTCAGGGCTTGAAGCTTCGCGACGGCCACGTTGCACAGGACCTTCCTCTCGATCTCTGATAACGATCTCAGCTGGGTGTCCTGCAGGGTGACACGTCGTCCACCGGTGCCCGCCCACGTACACTTGCCCTGTAATCAGAGATACGCCGCTCTGAAACTTTTTCCCATGATTGCGAGATGACTACTTGCCAATTTCAATTGAGCGTACAAAAGGTCACGCCGTGTGACACTGGGAGAATTAATTATCGCGAGCGCTAGTCCACGCGGCAGTGGGCAATTGGCTCGTTTAACTTTGCATAATCATCGCACAAAGCGATGATCTCGTTGCAGGAATACAAAATCAAACTGGTTTTAAACACGTGAGCTGTGACATTTTAATATCGTCAATGAGACAATTTGAACCCACTGCATCTGTATCTGGATTGTCTTTCATCGTGATTATTATTATTCAGGACAGAATTCATTCTGGCGATTAACGCGATATTTAAGATCACATAAAAGTTTTTTGACAATGACGTCCAGATACTAGATCCTAACGATAGAACACCTACGGGGGTTAAAATCATCTAAAAAAAAAATGTGCAGCCACAAATTTTTAGCGCCCAAGTGCAGTTTTGCGGAAATGCGTTTCGCGGATAACGTGCGTAGACCGGCGTCGTATACATGTATAACTGCAAGCGAACGATGTCAGTGGCGATAGTAAACGGCGGCGGCGGCGGCGGCGGCGGTGGCACACGCTGGTGCTACCGGACACGTAGTAGTAGTAGTAGTAGTAGTAGTAGTAGTAGTAGTAGTAGTAGCAGCAGGGGTTAAGTATAGTTTATACACACCACCGGCGGCCGACTATTTCTGGCGGCGCCGGCGAAATTCCGAGGCCCTAAATTGGTTATCGCGCTTACCGCTTAACGAGATCGTCTGCCGCAAGGTCGACCTTCTTCTTGTTCTTCTTGTTCTTGTTCTTCTTGTTCTTCTTCTTGTTCTTACGCCACTTCCTTTTTTCCTTTTTCACATCGTACGAATACTCGGTCGCATCGCGCGGCGACATTAGGTAAACCCGCCGCCGGGTCGGGTCGGTTGGGTCGGGGCGGTAAAGAAAAATAGACGAGCCGTCGAAGAGCTCCGCGGAGTGGCAAGACGAAGAGATTTTCAACCCGATAAAATTGAGAACAAACGGAGGATGCGTCGGGAAATGTCCGCGCGATACGGCACAGCGGCGACCGAATTTCGTGCAGACTGGAGAGAAGTAAGTTGAGGTAGAAGTCAGTTGTATGGAAAATTAGGAGACCGAAAGGGGATTTCGTTGGAACTACTGATGCGTGAAAATTAGGTATAAGGAAGGGTGTTATACGCAGGGATTCGAACAGGGGGGAAGAAAGTAAATAGGATGGATCGAATGGCGAGAAAGTGACGAACGACTGACGGGGAATAGAGGAATCAGGAACGAATCGAAGAGAGGAAACTCGATTTAGAAGTTGAGATCTGCGGAGATTGCCAAGACCAATAAAGGTTGCGATAAGAAAGAGACGACCAGAGCACTCAATCATTTTAATGTCCAGTGGAAAAAAAAAAACGAACCTCTATAGTGGATAGTGTACAATTGAAATGTTCAACGGAGACCATTATTTCACGTAGTTTAATCAGAGATCAGATTTCAGAACCGTTTTTAATTTCGTTTCTCGAAACAGGGAGAATAATAAAACGAAAACAGCACGAACAGAGGTTTTCCGCTCGAATTTGCTCAGATTATACTCGACGTGTCGCGGAGTAAAATTAATTTACACGTGCTATTAAAGAAGCAAGGTAGGCGAGAATTATTATTAATAGTGAACGTTTATTTTCGTAGCGAATGTTAATAGCAGTATAGTTATTAATGCGTATTCTTTCTTATAACGAACCGCTAGGCTCTGCGTCAAGTATGCGGCGGCAGGTGGTTTAAGCAAATTATTATTTGTAGACGTATTTTGGCAAGACAAAACTCTATGCTATAGCGCGTGAGTTTCGCTCATGCTTCGCTTCATGCAACGCATAGGGTGGTTGCTCCCAGAGTTGCTGTTAACTGTTCGTACTATGAACCGTCGGTACTATGAACAATTTGAATTTCACTGGTCGCGGTAAAACTTGAATAAAAAGTCGAAAGACAGGCAACAGTCGAGCACGCATTACGAGGAATAAGGTAGACTCACCTGTGGTGTCCAGATGGAGGGTTGATTGGACGCCCTCGAAGTGCTCTTGCTCCTCGACCGCCATATCTTCTTGGCCACCAGTCGGCTGCCGTGATGCACCACACTGCTCGAGGACTTGCTCTTCTGCATCGCTGTGCCACCTGCGGAATTGGCGGACGATGACGTGAGTGCCGGTGAACCGGGTGCCGAATGCGGCTTATCCTTGTGCGCGTTAGAACCGTGTAGGAGATGGGAGAGAAAGGACTGATGATGATGATGATGATGATGTTTAGGAGTTAAAGGTTCCTCGGAACCGAGGCCAGCGTCGATGCTGCTCCTCGAGCTCGCGTTTCTGCTCGGCGGCGAGGTGGTCGTGTCGGCATCGGACAAATTCTCCAATGGATTCTCTGTCGAGGACATTTCTCTATAGTTAACAGCCCAATTATCATCGGTCTGACAACCCTTATTGTTCCCTTCGTCGTCGCTCAGCTTAGTGATCTCCCCCTTGGCCTTGATATTTCTTAGATTTCTATCGTAGTTGACCCGTTTGAACCTGTCGACCTTGTCGGCCTCCATGGACTTTTTTCTGGCCATGCGCAGATATCTTTTGATGGTATCACTGACCGAGGGTGAAACGTCGTCGTTGTCCACGCTGCTTCGTCTACGACCACTCGGTTTGTGTACAGGCGTCTCTCTGGAAGATGACTCTTCCTTCTCTTTCTCTAACAAGAGGATGGCGTCGATGACTTCGCGAGGGACCGGATCCGTTTGAACGCCGTGATCCATGGGACCGACGCGATCGGTGCTGGGTTCTTGTACGGCTATCAGAGGCGGTAAGGAGACAGGTTCCCGTCTCGCGGGAAGCCACTCTTCAGAGTCCCGCTTGGTCGGAACTCTGCTACGTTGGTGAGGCCACCAGCGAGAAGGCGGCGACGTGTACGCACCGGTAGCACGTGGCCCCCTGAACCCCCTGGTGCACCTCAGATCGAAATACAACTTCTCCAAGAGTTTCCGATCCGTTAGAATAGCCGAGATCACGTGTTCGCGAGTCCCGGATTTACTGTAGTAACGGCTAATAGTGTCCATCAACGATTTGTGCACGTAGTCACCCTGATACGGTTGCATGGTCTTGGAAACTTTTTCCGTCACGGCCTTGTCTGCCGATGCTCGTTCGATTGAAAGTTCTTCGAGTTTCGCTTGGGCGAGCAGCAAATCCAGATGCTGCTGTAGCTTGTCTATCAAACTTCGATAATCGAACGTCTCTTTTCCTTCTCCTTGGCTAAGCGTCTCTAATTTCCCAGAGGGTTTCGTCGTATCAGCGACTTGGCTCTGCATGTTCAGGTACTTCTGCAGCATATCGGCCAACGCTTTCGTCTCAGCATCCTCGTGCTGGAACAGTTTCCTGTGCTCCACGGGACTAGACGGTGTACTCCCTCCTCCTTCGGAAGCCGCCAACAGCCATTCTCTCTTAGCCTTGGCCAGATCGAACTTGCCCGTCGTCGTGGTGCGAAGTACGAAACCTTGAGACGACGGGCTGCTCCTGATATCATCGGCCTCGTCGGCCGAGCTAGCCTTCGTTCGGCAACTGCCACCTTTCACGTGTCTCCGTCGCCTCTGTGATCGAAAGCCCAACGTTCCCGGATAAGAAGACTTCCTCCAAAGTAAAAATCTCGGCTCCTTCTGGCATACTTCCTGAAAGTACTGCTCTATCTTCGGGATATCCTCGGGCCTGTTGTGCGTCCCGTCCGGGATCAAACGTCTCCCGGCATCGGCCATGTACCGCCACGTTTTTCTGGTCAGCAGCCATCGTTCCTTCGACGGTTTGCTCGATCGCTTGGTCCTACGATCCTTAGAAGTCGGAGGCGTGCCTCGTACCGAGCCACTACCGGTCTCCATGCTATCGCGACGCGAACGTCTCCTAACCCCCGGACGCTCGGCCATCGTCGCGCTCTTCTCCTTCCTCGCCACGCGAACCACTTTCGCGGAATTGGTTTTACCCTTTGAACACGATCACCGACCGACGACGACGACGACGACGACGACGACGACGACGACCCGAACACTGGCTCCAGGGTGCACTATTTCATCATCAGACACGCGCGGCGTTCGCGTTATCAGAACGCTTTCGACATCATTGGAAATTCTCACGCTAAGAACGAAACGGAATGGTCGGCGGCACTGCACTTGCACGACACTGATGCACGTCAGATCTGTCACAACGGTGGAACCGAGCCGGCAGCTGGTGAAGAATTGCGACCAAGATTCTGGCCGACCGACGAGCGGCGCAATTTTTCGTGGGAAGGACGACGTCGGGAAGAAAATTGGGTGAATCTCGGGCCCGGGATGGAATGATGTCGATATGGTCGAGTGCTTGTACTGTGCGTTACGCTCAAGTGAACAAGGGTGAAGGGTTTGGCTGTATTTGGAGAATCGTTACGCGGCAGAAGTCGCGTCTGCCCTTCCTTCGAATATACATAAAAGCCGAATGGCCACTTGTTCGTCGAGTGGGAAATCGCCTGGATGTTTCCAACGTGATACGCATAACCTGGCGAGAACGCAGAAACCAATCCAACTCTCTCGGCTCCCCGTATCGCGCTTATTTTTATTCCGCGTACGAAACTTTACGCTCTTTTTACGCCGGCTAGCAACAGGCCCGCGCGTTCCGGACTTGGACAACAACGGGCTCCAGATTAATTTAGACTTCGCAGATCCCACCGAAATTCAGCTGACTGCCACTGTTTCTCTTCTCCCTCGAACCGACTGCCGTATCCACCACGGCGACGGAACACGCCTTCCCTGGTCGCGCGAAATCGATTCGCGCGTACACCATCGACCTCGCACGGGATCACAGAGATCTGTCCGAGTCGACCATTCCGTAAAGATCGACCGAATCGTTTGTCGTTTCCAGAGGCTCGCCGATGAAGAGCCTCGACCCAAATTTAACTCGTGCACATAGAAGAACGGGACCGTAGCGAGCTATCGTCCGTCGAGCGTCGCGCGCGCGCGCGCGCCCGCGTTCTCCAACTGAGAACCACTGCTCCGTCCCCGTTCCTCGAGTTTGTCCGTGTCTCCAGGGAGCGACGAGCCGTTCGGAGCCGGGGCGATGCGAAACGGTGAGATTCGCGACGACGTTACGTCGAGCAGACGTGGAGGAGAATCACGTTACGTGCGGCCGCGAGCCGGCAAGGTGGAAGCTGCCTAAGGTACGCGACTACTGCTTCTCAAGGCGTCGCGACGCTCGTGGACGCTCCGTGTCTAAAAGCGTCTTTGCCCCTTCTCTCCCCTGCCTCTCTTACGCGAGAAGAGAGAACCGAGCGAGCGAACGAGCGAGGAAAAAGGGAAGACACGGACGGACAGCGAGAGTGGAAGGAAGACGACCGAACCGCGGAGAGAACGCGAGTCAAGAGCGGTGGAAGAAGAGATTACGATGACGGCGAGGAAAATTGAAGTGGGAAGGACAGAAACGAGAAGCGGAGAGATAAAGAGGAGACGTTGGACGCGGTCGAAGGAGGGCAGAGACGATCGAGGAAGAGGCTGCTGCGGTCTAGGGTACCTGGGACCGCAGACTGACCGGAGGTGGTGTCCACGACGTTGTCATCGTTTGCCAAATACCGATCCCTCTTTGTGGCGAGACGCGTCTGCGTGCCCACCGGCCCTCGCGTATCTCATAGTCACACGCCAGTCACCGCTTCGACTATTTGTTTATAACGATCGAGCGGCTGCGCGAAGAGATGTTTTTCACTAGCTTTAAAGTCTGCGACTCGATTCAAGGATATTAAAAATCGTCGTTGCTCGAGAAATATCGAAAACCGAGCACCAACAGTACTGGTATCTTTTTCGACGAGTCGCGAGTGAAGAAACGATCGTTAGAAGAGGCTGAGCGGGAGCCGAGGATCGACCCGTCGGACGCTTGTTGAGAGGAATCGTTGGCAGAAAGCAGCTGTTTGTAAATAGGAGTAGAATGATTTGTTATCGAAGTTGTTACGCGTTGAGGAACAATAAGAACGAAGAGAGATAGCGGCCGGTGGCAGAGGAGGACGGCGGAGGAGGCTGCAACGCGAAGTTGTAAAGTCCCCGGTAAATCGTATAAGATTCTGTCGAGAATATCGATTCCGTTTGCCAAACGCTATAAGAAATTCCTGGCGAACGTGCAATTTCTAAATTCGTCGGTTCAAGCAACTCTGCCGCGAACTTTTGTCTTGCTACATTGCATGTAACGTGTAATCTCTATATTTCGATCGGAAGAACTTGACATACGAAAAGATTTACCTCGCAGGTTGATATCACTGGATCTTATTACAGAATGAATGATTCTACTATTTTTATAATCGGGACGAGAAAAGTGATTCAATGAGCCAACGGATCGAAAAGCGAAAGCGGAAAGGGAACGATCGAGGAAGCGTGGGATTACCTAACGTTCGCGGGCGAAAATGTGGGACATTTCTTTCCAGTAGCGGCGCGGCTAATGACGTAGGACGATAAAAATCGCCATGAGGGCATTGCCTAATATTCCTAGGGATGTATTCCGCGTCCGGGACTATTTCGAGACTCATTCTCTAATGCAAGTCAGACCACACCTCGGGCCGCCTATACGGCGATCGTAAATCAGCGCTGGCCTAGCTAGCCGGGACTCTTTATTTTTTCGAGCGGAAAATCGCCGACTGATTTATCGAATGCGCCCAGAAATTCTAGCCTGCGTATGCGTTACTTGCTCGAAAAATATCAAAGATCGTCGACAGGGCGGGCGCCTCGCGAATACGTCGACGGCTTGCATCCGTTTCGATTCGATTAACGACTACTACTCTTTACGAAAAATGTAACGAGTCGACAGAATTATAAAGGAATGATGTGATACTCGAAACAGTGTTGGTGTATACGGATTTCGAATTTTAACAAAAGTTCTTCCCAATTTTTACCAGTCCAAATCCAATGAAATACGTCGGACGTACATTTTAACACCAGATGACAAGCTATTTATTTTTGCCATATTTATCTCGTATGAGAATATTTTCCTGTTTCATTTCCTGTGGGCTCTCAAAGTAAAGAGCGAACGGAGATGTACAGAATTGGTTAAATTATGAAAATGACGTTGCAACGACGTGGGATATAGATAGAGGATAGAAGCGAATACGGTGAAAATACGGATAAAAAGATTGGCCAAGAAACGAATCTCGAGGGACAACCGCGAATCGCGCTATCTTTAGCGTTTACGTTCGCGTTCGCACCTCGAGACGCCCAAGTGTCTGCCAGTCAGCCAGCCTTATCTGCGACTCGTCTGCACGCTTTGAAAGCTTCTTATCGCCCGGGGAAACCGGCTTTCATCCTGCGGTCCGAACGAAAACTTGCGAGTGTCCTTCGAGAGCCAGGAAAAGATAGAGAACGAAGCTGTTGACGATTCCGACGCAACGCGACGCGACGCCCTGCTCCTGGCTAGACGATCGAACGCACGCGGTCCGAACGACAGCTTCTTGTTGTGTTGCACACAAATATGTTACTATAATTGTTCCACGAAATCGTGGGTGGGTTAGAAATTCGATTCTGTTAAGTTTATGTGGGAGAAACCGTCTGAACGTGTAGATTGTTACGCATGCGAAATTTCGAGAACACACCCTATTTTTGGAAGACGTCTTCAAGTGTATAAATGAGAAATTTATTTTAGTAATGTGTTAAATCGTAAAACCGCTTCGGTTAAAATAATTGTGAAATACGTGGACTAATAAGTGACATCGATCAAAATTATTCATTACTGGCTTGCGTTAAGAGTTTAAGGAGTCGTGCATTGTACAGGGCAGACAGTGGAGATATCTCGAAATTACATTACTTCACTCGGCGTTTTTATGATAATCGTGGCCAACGATTATTGTGCACAGATAAGTAAGATGCTCGTGTGAAAGTTGATAGAGACGACGATATCGAGATGAGAGAAAGAACGGAAGTGGCACGACCTGGTCACGACCAAGTTGCCATTGAACGGTAATTGAGTGAAACACTTAGTTAATGTTCGACAGTAACAAACAGTAGAAAACAATGCGAATCTGTAGCTTAAAAGCTTTTTAAAAGACTTTTGAACGACTTGAAACGGAAAATGATTGTAAACAAAGATCCTCAATTCTCGTCAAACTACAATTTAATGTCGACGAAATGCAAAGTGTATTTAATGCAAATACCTACAATTTTCTACTGACAATATTCCATGTAAAATTGTAGAAATAAGAAGGTACCACAATTACGCGAGATTTAGCTTGATCATGATGAAACGTCGACGTAAATTATCTTATAATAGGATCTGCCACCCTAACGTCACGCTTTATCGACTTTTACCCAATTCATCATCGAGACATCATAGGATTTATTCTCAGCGAAAGATGTATGTGACAAGGTCAAGTCTAATTTTAGAAATAACAGTTGATCCCCGAGCGGATTCTGTAGTCTGTAGGATCGTGTATCTAGGAGCGAGAAGTAGGTAACGAGGCGAGCGAACGAAAGCAGTCGCAATTCGATACACTCGCGGTCTCACTCGTCATCGGTCGATGACGATATACACATTACACATTACACCCCGGATGAGCTGGCTTGATGACCGATGTCGAACCCGCCGCGCGCCGTCACGAGAGAGCAACGCGCAGTGTCATCGACTGATTGTCGCTATTTCGAGCACACTCTCGGCCAACAAGCCTATTTAAAATCATTTGCATCGCCACGTGAGAGCCTCGCCCGGCATAACGAACAGTCGCGTCGCGGTGATCGCAACCTCGTGACACGTAGATTAATTCCACGTTATACTGCGCTGCAGTAGACCATGGCTATCGGGGCTACCGAACGATATGGGTGGGCGGAATGATAGAGAAACGCGTGCCAACTATTCCATATTCGAAAATTTATAGCCTTTCATATTGGTCGGATTTCAGTGAAAAATAAATGGAACACTACGTGGAATATTTATCTCTCCAATGAAACGAACGGGAATTTGATATATCGCGGGGGATGATCATTCAGGATATATCCGTCATTTACGACACTGAACAAACAGGTTTGCAAACAGGTTTGTAGAAAACGTTTATCTGTTATCGGAGAAAATTATGGAAAGAACGAATAAGACTCGTTACGAGACGTTTTAATTGGTCACGATTTGGTTTGGAGAATCCGAGATGGAGAGGGTGTGTTCCTAACGTCAGGCCGCTGAAAAAGTGTGTATACGCAAATCTTCGTGTAATAATATTTATAGTATCGAGCGTAAAAAGTAAGCGGGTGAGCATAAATATACAGTTGGGGCACACAAGGTTTGAATACCGGGTGCGTTGGATACCAAAGTGATTCGGATACCTTCGCGCGCCTACCTTCAATCTTATCCACCGTCGAAGGTGTTGCATGACGATGCACGTTACGCAACGATATAATGAGACGTTAAACGCTTTAGCTCGTTGAGAGCATCGTCGATCATAAATCCTGATCTTGACACGAGACGCCGCCGCGCCGCCTTCAACGTTTTAATATTCCATCGTAGAATTTGATAAGAATTCCTACAAAGCGAGAGACTAAGTTCTGATCTTGCGTCGATAAACAGTTTATATTACCTTCCGACGCAGAGATTTGAACAAGAGTGAAAAAGTGTGCGAGGCATGCATAGGTTGATTTTAGAAAATTATGAAATCATGTTGAGTGACTACGATGACAGACGATGCTAAAGGGTGCCTATCGTTCAACGATAGAAGATGACATTCTGACATTCAACGATATCGCCGGTAACTGGAACAATGAGAGACGAAAAAGACGGGAATGCGAGAGAGAAAGAATTACGGAAGGACACGGGCAGCGTAACAGCGCCAGAATAATCGTCCCAGTGGCATCTTTTAATCCGAACCGCCATACGAATCTATTTTTCGCCGGACAATCGCGCCAGAAATACCGAATTGGCCCCCCTTCGTGTTAATTCTGTTCTGGTGCTCACATGATCGCCACCACTTGGTCTGCGTCGCGTACACAACGTAGCCCAACGAATCCCACCGTTCTACCGTCTCGTTCACAACAAATGGTCGAACCACCCTGTTGATGTGATTGGTCGTCAGAGTCAAGGAAAGGATTCGCATCGAGTTTCCGAGAAAGGCATCAGATGGAAAACGTGTAATAACAATAATAATGTAATAACTATGTTGTATCTCTACTAAAATTATCTCGAATTTTCAAGTTACAGTAATTTGCAATATGATACTTGGTCTAATTATAATGATAAAAGATGCAAGCAGGCGGGACGTAGATTGAAAAATTGAATCACCGATTTTCTGTTGACGTTGAGTCTACGAACTCGTCACCACATGACCTAGACACCGAAGACCGACGTCGGAAATAACCGAGACTCGAAAATAAAATAATTAAATTAATGCTTTTGCATCCGATGGGCGTCGTATATCGAATCGTCCGGATGAGAGCATACGCTAAAAATAAACGTCTCTTAGATTAATGGCAATACAATTAGACGGGACTTGAAAAGGACCCCAGGAAATTCAACCGTACGGCACAAAGTCACGCGTCGCGTCGACGACACCGGTAATTAACATCGAGGGCTACGATTAAACTTCAATTAAATCAGTTACTGCGAACCATTCTTGAGACGCCTTGATCTTGTACACATTCTAAACAATTGGACAAAATCGATATCGTCTTCCCCCGAGAGAGACGACGCTCGCTCAACGCATCTGTTCTACCGTCAATATTTTTCCTGCCCAAAATCCTGCAGACATTACGATTAACAGGGGTTTATTTGTTCGGCCATTTATTTGTTTACATCAGTCGAAAAGAGGAGGCCGCGATTAAATCTGGATCGAGCAACGATTCCGTCGGTTGTCCACCGGTCGGGCTTCCGAATTTTTCAAATGTGCAGAGTATGCGCGGCGAAACGATCGACGATCGGCGAGGCTCGGTCGTATTATAAAATGCGCGAATTATTTTTAGCGGCACGCAAAAATATCGCAAGGTCGCCGCACGCGCCGGTACTTTTCGTCGCGTGTGCCTTCCCCGAGTAGAGCTTCACGCCCGAGCTTGAAGCTCTCCGAGCTCTCCCTCTCTCTCTCGCTCTCTCACTACGTTCTATACCCCCCGAGCTTTTCATCGTCGGACCGGAGGAGTCGCCACCGTACGGTCACCGTTAACTATTTCCAAACGAAAGCTCGCCAGGCGGCAGTGATGCTTGCAAGCTCGCTAGCTTTCCTGGCATCGGTACTCCGATCGATTCACGAGACACGAGAGTTCGTTGATCGACAAACACGCAACCTTACCATTCGACAATACATGAATCGGAAGAGTTTTCACCTCCACGTGGAGTGTAGAATCCGTGAAACCATATGTTAACACCTTTCGATAATCGCTGTAAAAATCATCATCACAACGGTTCAACAATTTTAGCAGATGGCGGTGACAGGAGTAAAATAAAAGATATCAAAACGAATGGTATGACGTTTTGAAATATTTTCACTCGATTGCGAAACGCATTTGTTCGGATCGACAGAAACGTCTTCTTAGTTACGGAATAAATTTCTTCAGTTTCTAAATTTCTTTTTTTATCGACGCTGTGTTTAAATAAAAATTTACACCTCGTTGTTTATAATGGAACGCCGCCAAAAGGTACATTGAAAATATTGAGTTAGGGAAAGATTTAGCGTACTTTTAAAGAAATGGAGATGAGAATATCCGATAAGGCGTGTGGAGACGCGTACTTAAAGTCATCGTTTCATATAAAACGCTAGGACGAGCGAGCGTAACGTCATTAGTTTCAGCATTATGTCATGTGGTAACGTCAGTGCTATGTCATGCACGAATTTAGCTAAGCATTTCACCGCCGCAGTTGACACTTGTATTAGAAACAACGCGCTGACGTATCTTGAAACATAAACTTTATCGTCGAAATATGGACTTTATCCAGCCACCGAGAGTCCATCTGAATGAAATCGTGCAAACGTTCCCTCGCGTCCTGAGACGTGCGCTGCGTCTGAACAACAACGGTTCATTTCCCTTGTCGTTACTCCTTACTTTCCACCAACAGTCGCGAGCTAGCAAAGATCGCGTGCAAGTTTTCGCAGGACGATGAATTCGCAGAACTACTTCCGCGAACAACAAGAGATTTCGGAATCGTAGGAATACCCGCGATTTGGGTAACACAGAGAGAGATGCAGGGCTTTGTTGAAAATTACTTCCAAGAATAACGAATCAAAACTCGGTGGCGGCAGACCGTCCGTCAGAAATAGCCGAAACACCGGCTATTTCCATCATTGACACGAGAGATTTACCGGGTGGATGATGAAGACACCGCGGCGGCGCGCGGGGCGAAACGCGAAGCTAATTAAGCCTCAAGGTTCTGTCCCATTAAATGGGTATGGTGTCTCGCGCGTGTTTAATAATCGTCGTCGACGACGCTTGCACGAGGTCTAGCCGGGAAGCCGTGCAAGAAACTTTCGTGTCACGGCACGTGTGCGTGCAGCACACGTACTATGCTTGCTCACCACGGCCTACCCAGCCTGGTTCTAAGACCTTCTAATACGCGGAATTCATCCCGGAGCGTAGAAACCCAACCGCGTTAGGCCTTTGGCCTCTCGTCGAGCGTACCGTTTTGCTTCCACGCCGCTGTCCTTCGCGTATTACACGAATATACATTCTCCAGTAACAGAGGTCTAGTTTCAAAAGTGCGAGTATTCCAACCAACTGGAATGACTTGCAGATGTCGCGATTATTGAAATTGAAACTCGATATGAACAATGTTAAAATCTCACGGAGAATCTAATCGAAGAACGGTCGAATGTAGGTGTCCGTGAACTCGCGAACGGAAGTGTACAGGAATAGACAGATATATACATAATTTTATTCGCAACCTAACGATATTTTTCTGCGCGGATCATGTTAGGTACTATAGTTATCTCGGCGGTCGCGTATAGGTACGACGGGATGCGTACAAATGATGCCGGAGTGGATAGAGCTTATTTATGGATCATGCGATCCAGCGTATGCCAGCCGGTCGAATTCTATGTAGATACGTACAGCAGAAACGGGGATCTCGGCCAAATACTATGGGCCGCGTACGAGCAAGATACGCTATATCGATCTGAATACTCGATCTTGCCGAACAGTTTTAACAGGATTAAGCAGGGAACAGGCTCGATTAATCTTGGTTATATATGCCGTGAGCACAAATTGCTACTATTAAATTGGCAATAATCCGTCTGAATGAAGATTAGTAAAGTGACATGCACTTTGTAACGAATTGTAATTAAAAGCATCGTCTTGTGACTCTCAGTAACGGATAAACGCACCTCCGTATGAATTACAAGTTCGTCGACTTGTTGAAATCCTGTGTAACGCGTACGATGCATAGAATTAGTCGCGCGACGTGAATTACGAACAAGAATTTCGGAAAGTACTCGAAGGCATCCCACTCCGTGTACACAATGTGAACTCTTGCGACACTTTTCACGTTGCTTTTACGATCATTTGGCAGAGCGTTGCAGAAATGTGTTCTCACAAATTGTAATAACTCGTCAACAACTCGTCCCACTCGTTTATCGAGAACACGACCGGCACGACGTCGCATCTAATTACCAATTACAAATGGTGCTTCTATCTGCAACGGCAACGCCACCGGTGTGTCCACGGGATATGATGGATCGCGATAGATCGTGGTCGTGTACCTTAACCGAATGACGGATAACGAAAGAAAAATATTTAGTATGTTGAAAAATAACCGCGGCCGGTTTTATTGAGCATCGTACACGTTCTTACGCGAGAGATCGACTCAAAAGTTATCGGGTGGCTGCTGCGTTTCGTCCGCTAACCGAATTTACGTTGCACACGTGCTACTGTTTCGACAGTTTTTTTTCTCCATCGTTTAAATTCGGGTACCTACAATTGACAAACCGTCGACGCCACCGTTACGTAATCGGCAAACATTTCCAACGATTTTTATTACCACGTATAGTATATACCACTATAGAAAGAAAAACGACACGACAGCGGCAACTGTTTAGGGAACCGTGGTGATAAAACATTTTTTTAACTACG